CCTTAATCACATTTAGCTGTCAATACGTGGAAGTAAATGATAAAATCTCACCATGATTGTTCACGTGTTGGCTACATTACACCCATGCTACCATTTAACAAAATTTGATTTGCGAAATGATTAATCAAAGTTAAAACCGTTAAAAGAAAATGATCTGGGCTTTCCCTCCATGACACAAAGCCTGGTATGTCCCACATAAAGTTAAAACCGAGACTGAACATGATCTGGGCTTTCCCTCCATGACACAATGTCTGGTATGTCCCACAAATACTTATTATATAAGATGCTCTTGATTTGTGATGTTTTGTGCCATAAAAGTATAATCTGAAAAGTTAACAGATCACCTAACATTGAGATAGTTTGTCTCCACTGTTCACATCATTGATACCGGTGTCTTTAATCAATCTGTTCCTCATATCGGGACAAACAAGGAGGCCATTGATAATTGAGGAAAGTTAAACCTAAATCAAAATACAGGATATCATAACCAAAAATACATCTTTTCTTTGCAACCAAATGAATTGCCTCTCTTTGATTGGTAAAAACATAATATAGAAGTAATCATGACATATCCTTACTTATCTCTACCAGTCCTAACTCGTCTCTACCAGTCCTGACTTACCTCTACCAGTCCTGACTTATCTCTACCAGTCCTGACCAGTCCTGACCAGTCCTGACTTACCTCTACCAGTCCTGACTTATCTCTACCAATCCTGACTTATCTCTACCAATACTGACTTATCTCTACCAGTCCTGACCAGTCCTGACTTATCTCTACCAATCCTGACTTATCTCTACCAGTCCTGACTTATCTCTACCAATCCTGACTTACCTCTACCAGTCCTGACTTATCTCTACCAATCCTGACTTATCTCTACCAGTCCTGACTTATCTCTACCAATCCTGACTTATCTCTACCAGTCCTGACTTACCTCTACCAGTCCTGACTTATCTCTACCAGTCCTGACCAGTCCTGACTTATCTCTACCAATCCTGACTTATCTCTACCAGTCCTGACTTACCTCTACCAGTCCTGACTTATCTCTACCAATCCTGACTTATCTCTACCAGTCCTGACTTATCTCTACCAATCCTGACTTATCTCTTCCAATCCTGACTTATCTCTACCAGTCCTGACTTACCTCTACCAGTTCTGACTTATCTCTACCAGTCCTGACCAGTCCTGACTCACCTCTACCAGTCCTGACTTACCTCTACCAGTCCTGACTTATCTCTACCAGTCCTGACTTGTCTCTACCAGTCCTGACTCGTCTCTACCAGTCCTGACTTACCTCTACCAGTCCTGACTTATCTCTTCCAGTCCTGACTTATCTGTACCAATCCTGACCTATCTCTTCCAATCCTGACCAGTCCTGACTTATCTGTACCAGTCCTGACTTATCTCTACCAGTCCTGACTTACCTCTACCAGTTCTGACTTATCTCTACCAGTCCTGACCAGTCCTGACTCACCTCTACCAGTCCTGACTTACCTCTACCAGTCCTGACCTATCTCTGGATTACATATATATTCTACCATAGTTTTAATCTTTCACATTTGTGTTCCAGTGCAGAGAAAAAGTACTTTTCTGTGAATATTCTCTGTGATTATTTCAATGCCAGCTGGATGATTAGATATACCAACCTTGTTATCTCCTAGTCACCTGGATTGTGGAAGAACTTATCTGAGTATTCCACATAAGTGAGTTTGAATATTTGATGTAAAGTTTACTGACCAGGACCAACAAAGTTCTTTGAATACACAGAGCCTTTGACTTATAAAAACATATTTTTGACTGATGTGAGGTAGAGATAATGAGGTTCATCTGTATCCAATGATGAAAACACATGACTTGACCATGTGACAATGTTAAAGCTATAGATAGTCAGTTTTCTTCAAATTCCTCTTCAGTCGTTGCACGTTATCCTCAAAGTTCTCTTGCAGTTCTAACAGGTGATTTTAACAGCAAACAGTCCTAAAGGAAATTATACTTCCATTACTGTAGAACCTGTGTACCTTCTCTACTGAGAATTAACACACCTGTTTTCCTGTCTCCAATTATGCTGTCTGTATGTATATATGACTAACAATAGATCTTGTGATTAGTCCTCAGTACAGGTATTTTATTGTTTCGAAGTGAACCATCAGAGGAGTGATACTGAGAGAAATCTACAGATCAATCTGCATAAATCTTCACTAGTTATTTGATTACAGAAGAAAATCACTTCTAAGTGAAATGTATTTTCTGTGGACTATTAATTAATATTCTTGTGATGAGTACATACTCGCAACACGGTCTTATCAAATATCAGATTAACAAACATTTGGTATGCAAAATGGTCAACAGATTCAAAAGTCCAGCAGGTATTTTTGTAGTAGAAATATTTATTGAATTTTGCACTGAATTTGAAAGGGCTCAATAATTGCAGCTAAACATATTATTGTTTTCCTTCACTGCTAACGCTACATCTTCAGGTGCTCTCGGAGAGTTAGAGGTTGTAAGTTCGAACTCCATCATGATTAGGATATCCTTATTACTCCTTGCTATTTTACAGCTACAGTTTAAAATCAGACCGCATTGGTAAATTGAAAATTGTCATTGATGTTTGGAAAAATGTTTTTATTGACACATCTAATGAAGCTGTGGAGAAAAAAAAATAACCTGAACAACAAATACAATGATATCAACAAACAACACAAAGCTGACGGATATTGTTTTATAAATTTTTATTGTTGTAATTTTCTTAAATTTTTTTTTTATTTGTAATTTTATATAATACATGCACATGCTGCAATTTATTGCATATCTTCTTCGAAAATTTTGCTTTAACACAAATAAATTGACACGTACAGTATTGGTAACAATAACAACAAGAGTTGGAACATCAGAACTAATTTCTCCAACACAAAGGATTAATATACGAAAATGTAACAGATTCATAAGTCATATTAAGTTCTTATAGGAAATAAAAGAAATATGATATAAAACATATATATAGCCGCCCGAACTGTATTCATTGGTTGAAAGCCATGTTATGATATCAACACTGACCAATGAAATTGTACAAATATTGAAAGATCTGATATCAAGATTTCCTAATCAAATATCTTTTTGTCTATCATTCAGTCTTTTTAGTGTCTAAGTCTGTCTGTCTATCTCTTTCTTCTTCCTCCACTCTTTCAATAACAGTTAGACTATTACTATATAGAAAATTATGTTTTTCAAAAATACTCTAATTTTTCTCTCTTTCAGATCCCTTTATCTTTCACTCTTTCAACACAAGTAAATGGTGTTCCTTATTTCTTTTTTTACATACAAAATTTTATTTTTTTTTTTTGTTTCCAATTATCTGAAAACTTTGTATTTGGTACTTTTTTGTCAGTCATCCAAATGATCCTGAATAAATGTCTCATCATTAGGAAACATTTTATAAATATAAATGTTTTATAATTTTCTGCCCAAATTGGTGTAAAGGAAAAAACCCATTACTGGACAGGCAGTATAAAAATAGTATACTTAACACAGTAAGTAAAGCTGACAGCCATATTAGAACACAGAAGCTATGGGTATTAATCACCCAACATTTACCAAGGATAAATATTTGAACACATTTGTAATACAGTAAAAAAAGGGATAATTCATATATCACATTCACATATATAACTTTGGTTTTTGCTGGATCTCAATTCATTGTGCTAAAGTCTTCTTCCTCTTCATCTAATGTGCTCACTTTTTCCTTCTGACTAAATTTCTGGTTTTTTTCTCTGTCATGCATACAGCCCCAACACTATGTTCTTTTTCTACATAAATCATCTTGGAACATTTCCCCCTCAAATTTCAGTTATCATCCCAGCAGCACCAACCAAACTGAAAACAGGATATTATATTGATTTTTCTTACTTTCAGCAATTTCTTTACTAAATCAATATTGTCAGTTTCCAATTAATATCTACAGGTATAAACATCAGGATTTTATATAAATGATAATTAGAAATGTGACAGATTATATATAATTATCTCATCAGCACTATCTTATGGCACATTGTTCACTTAATCCATCACTTTTAGATAGACAATTCCAGTTTATGAAGAAATTCCTAATAATCATTTTCAAATGTAAATTTCACATTTTTCTTGTAAAATGAAAGGAAGTTTTCCTTAGAGATCTTATATAAGTCTTGAACTTCTACATTTATTGATCATATTTTTTAATTCAATATATGTACACATTAGTATCTTGTGCATTTCTCTGCAGGGTGATGAAATTTTCTTGGTTACATCATACTTCTATCCTGGTTAGTCATCCAATGTATTTGTTATCTGAAATAAAACAAAATAATTGTTATATTTTAATATCAGAAACAATTGTCATGGTACTTTCATACTTCAAGGAGCATTTATTCTAAACTGGTGTAAAAATGTACTCAGGGCCACACCATGTTAAACCTTCATTCTACCTTTTATTTTTTCTTAACAATTTTGCCTTTTATTAACACAATATCAAAATATCTATAATATGAATTTTCCCTTATTGTCACCCCTGATATTGTCACCCCTGATATTGTCACTCCTGATATTGTCACTCTTGATTTTAGCATGTGAACTGTGCACTGATAACAGCCTGTCTAGCAGATCTGATCATATTAGCAACCAGCTGTAAGGGATACCAGTTTATACTGCTTTGAAATCTGGCGATTGAAGTTGGTTATCTACTTTTTCCATTAATATAAATCAGATATCAAAATTCCTTTCAACTTGGAAATTTTTTAAACATTATAGTAATCTTACCATCAGTATTTCTTGGAAAGGTTTCAACAAGGCTGGCGATCTACTGACTGGATTGTGTCTCCCTGAGGTAGGCGTTATTGTTGCTGTATTTTCCCGTATCGATTATGACTTCCAGACATCATACAACTTTTAATCCAATATTGCACCATATTATCTTCCATTCCATAAATCTGTTCCAAACTGTTATGACCCGAACCAATATATAGCACACTATTTCACAAATACTGTCCTTCATACATAGAGGTCGTTTGGCCGAATGGAAAAATCCTCATCTAATTCGTCAGGATTTATCGTATAACTCCCTGACGTGGTTGTGACCTCATCATCGTCTCTACTGTGTGCACTTTGGCTGCCAAGTGTTAAATCTTTACCATAAAACAATGAACCACTCCCAAAATCAAAACTGGAATGGCCTTTTGATTGCAAGTCAAATATCGTAGGCAAAGTATTCACATTATTTGAATTGTTTTTATGTGAATTTTGACTACGATTTGTAGAGCACATTGTTGAATTCACACTAGAGGTTAATAAACTGTCGTCTAAGTAACGATTAGAGTTTTTTACAGGAGCACTTGGCACTTTGATGCCTGGCGGCAATGAGTATCGGTTGTGATTTTTCAGAGGTTTTGTAATAGGAACGTCAGAATTGCCACCATGACTATGTTGTCGTATCACATATATTCCAGGCGTGTCCTTCCCCTGGGCAAACAGTGGATTCAGTTCGAAAGTATTTTGATTATCTGAAAATAGACATCATTCACATGAAAAATAATCCCAACCGATCAATTAATACATCACTGTAAGTACTTACTGGATCTGAGAACTTTATATAATACAGGTATGAAGTTCTGACAATTATAGCACTATTAATGACGTATGGTTCCATTGAACTTTGAGACAGGTACTTGTTAAGTAAATTAAGATCATGGTGTTTACATTTTTATTATCTATTTACTCCATTTACCTTCAAAACATTCATTTTCGTAGCAGATTTATTTTCATTAATTTTGAAAATACAATTTATATTTCATCATATTTTACAAACTGATTCAATTAGTTTAAGTAGATATATTGAGCTTCATGTAGATCTTCAAAATCAAATGTTCAGGAAGTAGTAATATTTTACAAAAACCACAAAAATTGAGACCCATGAAAACATCTGATTTCACAGTAAGTAAACTTAAGGGTGTATCTTGTCTTAATGTGTCATGCAGTAATCCATGAAAGGATAAAGCTGAATTTTAATCTAATTCAAGGGGGTAATTTTAACTTTAACACAGGTAAGAGACAATTTTATCCAAAATAAATTGAGACACATACCTGCATGTGAAAAATCTTCTTCACTTCCTCCATGTCCACTGTCTGATGGAAGTGTCTCCCCTGACGACTCGCTTAAACTCTCTTCTTGGTGAGATTTGGACACTACCACCTGAAAAACACCAAAAAGATTGTTTAAAAAAACAACTTAATATGAAATATAAAACAGAGAATTTTTATGAAGATCCTTCTCTTTCACATAAAAAAATTGCTGTTTTGGGACATCTTCTTTTCAAGATCTTTGAATTTATACTGAAAAGTACAAGTACAAAATTGTAATCTATGTATACAGAGTATATGTTAGAATTTCTCAGTGAAATGCCTATATAAGCATGCGATTCTGACATCAAATGCATTTTTACATATTATTCATTTTCCCTTGACAATCAAGACTTCATCTATCCCCAAGTGTGAAGCACATTTCCTTGGATGCTCCATGATGAATTCAGACCTCTAATAACCTCCCCTTGTGGGCATAGTCCGAAACCTCCCCATACAAACTACAGGGGTGCTGTAATCACCTCTAACCTATGTCAATGGACACCTGGGATGTCTTTTTCACATATAACCTGAAGATTATTGATGGCTAAATCCATCACATTTACGGGAATTAAGTATCATGCCGCGACAGAATTAAGCGAAAAATGTTGTGGTCCATTTCATGTCATTTTCCCCACTTTTAACCAATTTCATTGATTTTGTGAAATTATCCTGTTATGAAAAATCATTCAGGTGCAAAATTACACTGGACAGGAAAGTAGGCTATGGAAATGCTAGGTTTTTATCCCGTTATCCTTCGTTTAATATGGGGAGATAGCCGAGGAAGTCACCAGCACTGACATTCAGGGGAAAATGATTTCCATTTCCGGATGAAATGGCACGACAAAGTATTAACGACTAGCAACAGAACATTAAGCATTCTTGATCATTTTTTAACAACAGCATAAGCTTCAAATGGATGTCTGATTTATACATATTGTTGTTTATATCAATATTAGATTTTGTATTTTTTTTTATCGTCGCCATCATTGACATTTAGAGTAACATCGATATTAATGGAGCATGACATTCAATTCTCCTCTGTTAATCTGTTATAAATAATCAAAAGACAGAAAGGACAGTTCCATTTTACATGAAAAGTCACAAAGTCAATTCAGTAAATAAATTGTTAAAACATATCACTCTTTTTTCTTCTCAAGAACCTTGTATATATTTCTGGTCTATCTTTGTATTTAAGCAAAGAAATACTCTATTTTATCCTATTCAATATGAGATAAAATTCGGAATCAAAGTTACACAGTTCTAGTTGAATCATCACGTCTTCATTGGGTACTTGAACATTTCAACGAGCACGAACACCATCTTGTAAAATCAACGCAGAGATGATAAACCACATTACAGATCACAGCGCGATTTCTATTAAGGAAATATTCAACATGAGCAGAGTGACTGACTGTATTGTCAAAAATGTGATCAATATTTCTAACACAGTATCTAAAGCCTGAAATCCTCTCCGACTTTACAGACCTAATCTAAACTTTCTTTACCCTGAAAATGTCACCACATTATTGAGCCTACTGTCAAATTGTTTACCCGTTATAAAGGATCGGCCTGCCTGCATATTTAGATATCAATAAATGTTGACAAATAAACAGGATTTATCAACACACGTTCTTCCTCTCAATGAAACCACAGATAGATATCTTATCTCTGTTATCAAATAGTTGTTCATATATTGCAACTTATTACACCTAAATTAGAATTCCATACTTCTGTAAAGGAAAAGTATGTGATATAAAACTCAAGTCTGTCACAAAAAAATTAAAAATCCAATTCAGTAAATGAAATATAAACACTCCATTGATTTTCCATTCTTGTTCAACAGACCTACACATTTTTTAACCTGCTTTCATCAGTTTTGTGTTTTGATTTTAAAAGTCTTTCAATGCTTATTCTTTTGTTGTTGTTTTGAAATAAGTCTTATTTATGTACATCTGCCTACAGTAAAATAGGATTTAGAACAATCTGAAAATAGTTTATTAACATATTACCTAATTAATGAATACCCTATATTACCATATTTAACCTAATCAGTATCTATGATTTTTTTCTAATGTCCTCAATACTGAATAAAGCTAATACTGATGATTTATTTGAATAGGAAATTTATTTATTGATAAACAATTTTGAAAAAAAAACAAAAAAAAAAACATCCATTTCTAAATACTGATGATTAATTTGAATTGAGAATTTATGTAATGATGAAAGATTTTGAAAAAAAAAAAAAAGTTATGTATCACCACTCTAATTTTTCTTCACTGCTTAAAAAATCAGGGTGTTAATTAGGTTAAAACAATACCTGAAGGGAACTTTCCAAAGGAAACCATTAACACACAAATAAAGTACATAACTTAAGGTTTATACAGCCATCAACCAAGACTTAAACACTGAAGTGTACACGTCTGACAGAATGTTTATATTTGTAGATCTCTCACCACATGTTACAAGGGAAGATTACGGCGTTTTATGAAGCTAGAGATTCACTCATTCATATGCTTTGAAACCATGTTTGACTTTCCTTCAGCAGATCATGAGAAATAAATCACATCTAGAGGTAACAATGGCCAGATAACAATGGAATATATCCACTGTATCTAATAGTCTATTTCAGAATTACTTTAAACGAGATGCGATCAGAAATGAACCGGAAAAAACCAGGTCTCCGCATTTAATCTGCGTGTAATATTCGTAGGATCCACAGGTGGTTTATTACGGCGACAGTACTTTGTCTGTTGACAGGTACATCGATGCATGTTCAATCCCTATTTTATAGTAGTTTTATCGTACACAATATCACATAAAATGGACGATTTAGGGGTCAGTAAAAATAAGCTATGTACACAGAGAAATTCCCAAGAGAAAGAAGGCTAAATTTAATTTGTTGACACAATATTTAAGCCAATTTACTCAATATTGCCAATAAAATTTAATATAATATGCTTATTAAACAATTATATTGCAGATTTCTTTGACAATCAGTTCAGGTGGACAAATTTAAAACATAATTATTGTCACACTGGTAACTTCATAAAGAAAGGATACCTTTGCTGAACAGTTAACTAATTATACAAACTATATTTATAACAAATTCTTCTGAGTTTGAAATTCTACTGTTGCTGAAATTCATATATTATTTCAGACAAATGAATATGAAACACTTTTTTTTAACAATCCTACGTCGCCATGGCAGATGTTGCCTGGTTTATGTAACTCAACAGATATGTGATATTGCAGATATATACAAACGACACACACATGCAATATTTTGAAATCTGACCTGCTGTGGTGTCACAATTCACATCAGATTGTCAATCACAAGTGTGTATAGCAGAACAAGAGACCCTGGTCTTCCACTGCTGACATATGTCAAGAAATTCTAGTTATAATGGACATTTTTTCTTATTTTTAAGAGTTTGGCAAGTTGGGGAGGGGGTGACAAAGAATGGGGAGAGGAGGATGGTGTAGGAGGAAGAAGTCCATGGTGGTGTAATGATGAAGGTGTATGATTACTAGTACTATGTTTTTATTTATTTATTTATTTCTATTAAAATTAGATCTATAGAGTCTGACAATTCTGAGCAACATTTGGGTAGGATTACGTAGAAAGTCTGAGGGGTAGAGGGTACAGGTAGGTCAGGGAGATATGGGGTAAGCTTATTCAGAAAGTCTGAAGGGTGGAGGGTACAGGTAGGTCGGGCAGACACGGGGTAAGTTTTGCCATTTTTACCTGTTTTTGGTGGTAGTTGTTGAGTTTTTCTGGGTGACTTGGCGGGTATTTCTGTCCACTGGGTAGGTGTACTACGAGTTTCTCTGTGTCTTTTACTTCTGGCTTGTTCCCAGTCTGAAACAATTCAAAATTAGACAATTGGCTACTGACAGCTATCAAGAATAAAATCTCTAACATTTCTTTTCTCTTTTTCAAACCATTTCTTGTTCAATCGAGGGGAAAACCCTGAAACAATATCTTTGTTTTTCATCACTTCTCTTTAGATTCGGAGAAGTTTCAAATCGCTACCCTGGGTTGAAAGGGGTCGTGGTTGAGTAAACAGGACACTGCATATTATTTAACACTTCTTATCAAATAATCGGCAACTTAGTAACGTAAAGTCACCACGGTAATCAACAACAAAAACATGAGAAAACAGACAACAAAGACATCTTCACCTTTGTAAAGCTCCAGATTTTATCCTGAAAACCTTAAAGATGAAGATATGAGTAGGGAAGGTCAAAAAGCCAAACTGTTCTATTTCAACAACAATGCTTTTACTACTTGTCTCCAATTCCATTACAATATAGCTTATCACGCGTCTTTGTTTCTCAAAAAGAACATATAAGAGAGCGTTTTGTGCAAGTAATCCTCAACCGTGTACATTCACACAATGGGCAGGAAACTCCCTCAAATTATACGACGGTAAGTAGACATATCTGGTGGGATGGGAAGCGTTAATGTACCTTGTATAGATTGAACAAACAGTCTATATGGTTTGAGTCGAGCCATCCCCAGAGAACATTTCATTGGTAATTTTTACGTTCATCGATTTGCATTGGAACAAGTTTTTGGTACAAGTAAACATTGTTTATCTATAGAAAAACTTTTATAGCAAGCTATAATTCTAATGAACCAACCATTTTCAAAAGAACTATTTAAAAATTGTGATTCTACGTTTTTAAATTATGTCCATTTCTACTTATTCCCTATAACAACAGAGGACAATCCATTCGAGATCACCTAAATGTTTGATGGCTTACCCTCCGGTAAGTATTTATTAAAAATACATTGTCATAGCAACACCGTATTGACTTTCATTGTACACGATAAATATGCAAAAAAAGGGAACATTACGGCCGAAACAAACATCTCTATTGTTTGTCGTATCCTCTGGCAAGATCTCGGAAAGATATGCAAATTATTGATGATGAAATAGGCAGATAAAAAAGGAGAAGTGTCCGGAGGAAAACTGAAACTGACGTCGACCAGCTCCAAGCAAACAAAACGTTCGTCTATTTTATCTTTAAAGCTTCAGCTGCCATGGGTTATTGGCCACGATGAATCTGATTGGTCAACCATTTTAGATAAGTTTTTGTCCTCCAGACATCCCCAAGATCTCAGGTTCTGATATATATTATATTGACCACAAGTTTGTGATCGGTCAGACCTGACGACAAGTGGGAAGGCAACTGTTGTACCCATCATAGCCTCCTTGTATTAAACTGATATAGGACATATCCTGGCTGGTGGTCTCCTAACATATACTTTTTTATTTGTGTATATATTCAACTTTTGTTTATCAAAATACTGGAAAATTCTTAAACACATTCATGTATAATAAATTAGAACTCTACACAGTATTTCCTTTGATGTTTTTCGTTTAGTTTCTAACGTTCCTGAGAAACGGACGGAAGATCTAGAGAGTTTCCATGAATTAACAAGGCCATTTTATCTATTTTCTCTGTCATTATAAAAATGATTTCAATCCACTTCTTAGTGAGGAAAACTCACACGCCTACTTATATTTAGTATTGAACTGTTTGACTTTAAATGATAGTGTGTGGGTTTTGTTGTAATGAACAATACAAAAGTGTGTACTTTTAAATTAAGGATATTTGATACAGTAGTAGTATACACTTTGAACTTGAGATAAAACACTTTTCTTTAAGGCAATCATTCTACCAAGTATCTAACACAAGACATAATCTAAACATTCTAAATACAACAAAGTCTATTTCATATCACTTGTCCTTAAAATGTGATATTTACCAAACAGTGACATTAAAAGGCATAAATACAGAAATTCAGTTATTATTGGGAAAACCCATTTCTTGATTTAAGACAGTAATCTAATTAACAGCCAATTTATCTTTGGACTTTTTTATTTATTTTGTACACCTATCTCTGAGAAAAATATACTTCACAAGACGGTGTTAGATTTCTTGTTGGGAGGTTTGGACAAGACAATAAATGAACAACACTTATTACTGGAAGACAAAAGTTTGAGATTTCAGTCTGTCTCGTTGTGTTAGTCACAAATGACTTGTGTAGAAGTAGACAAAAGAGTCGCCCTACGAGAACCAAAGTAATCCATCGTTCGGTTCATCAAGTTGGATCGTTCACACCATTCTTTATCTAGATAGAAAATCTTTGACACCGTATTCAAGATTTGTTCGCACATATGAAGGTTTATTTTTTTGCGCCAGCAGATTTTGTCGACACCTTTTGTGTTAGAGACGTATTGTTATGTGTTAAAAAAAAACCTTTTGTACTAATGAAAACTATTGTGTATATTTTACACTCAAAGATTTTCCGATACATATTTCTTTCCTGTTTGGCGTAGGTTGCGTTTAGTCATGTTTCCGATGACTTATACATTTTTTTTTGTCCAAAACAATATTTCTTTATTTACAAAAAATTATCAATTTTCCAGTTTTCCATTTACATAGCATTAGAAAAAGAAAAGTAATGATATGAGATAAAAACCACCTTTGACTACTCTACAAACATGAAGGTGTTATTTTATACAAAGCAAATGTCAATAAATTCAAACTGTCATAATTTTATCTAAAAAAATATTTTTTTGATAATTGTAGTTAAACTAATATTGAATTCAAGCAGACTTCTTGTCTGTTCATTCTGTCATTACATTTTCTAAGCATTAATATACCTCTACACCAATATTTATTTTGAAATATTTTTTATTTATTGATATACGAAGTTTGGAAGCTGAATGACAAATTTTGTCTATATTAAAACCTTTTCTGTTAGATTTATACTCTTAGAATGGTTAGTAACACTATTTCTGTAAAACTCTTACAAAAGCACATCATTGACGGAACAACTACACAGCAGGAGTGAAATGTCAGGGGAGGCTACTCTCAAGGTTTCTGTTTGACACTATAACATTGTTGAGGGGAGGCTACTCTCATGGCATCTGTTTGACACTATAACATTGTTGAGGGGAGGCTTCTCTCATGGCATCTGTTTGACACTATAACATCGTTGAGGGGAGGCTACTCTCATGGCATCTGTTTGACACTATAACATTGTTGAGGGGAGGCTACTCTCATGGCATCTGTTTGACACTATAACATTGTTGAGGGGAGGCTACTCTCATGGCATCTGTTTGACACTATAACAATGTTGAGGGGAGGCTACTCTCATGGCATCTGTTTGACACTATAACATTGTTGTGGGACTGAGGAAGAGGTATACTTACTGGTGAGCCTGTCAGTTTCTGTAACAGCTGATTCTTCGTGAACTGAGACTTTGAATCCAGAGAAAAGCTCACTTTTGCTTTCGCCTTTGATTTCCCTTGTGACGATGGATTAGGTTCGTCATACAGGTTAGGTATACTTGTACACTGAGTAGGGAAAGATAACTCTGGATTATTATTTTTGTCTTTTTCCCGTTTACGTAGCACACAAATTACTGCAATTAAGCCAATGGAGAGCACGACAGTTACACACACAACAGAAACGACAATGAGCACAAATTTATCAGCGTCCTGAGGTGTCGTCACCATCGTTGTAGTGTTAACATATCTCACTATAATGTGGAGGTCACGATCCTTGGATTGAACAATGGGTGACCCACGATCTTTGACCTCTAAGGTCAGAGTATATTGCTTATCCTCGTGAAATTCAAAAGTCCTACGGATATGAAGACTCCCAGTTTCATGATTCAGATAAAACATATTATCAACATCCCCTCTTCTGATGAAGAACATGACTTTTCCGTTTTCACCATCGTCCATATCATAAGCCTGAATGGAAGCGATGATACTGTCTTCAGGAGTTGTGTGAGGGATGGAGATTGTGTAATTTTCCTCGTTTGGAAATATGAACTGTGGGGTATTGTCATTGCTATCAGTAACTGTAATTACAACCTGTGTTGACCCAGTTCTTGATGGATTTCCCTGATCGTAGGCTTCGACAGCAAAGTCGTATCGACTGAGGTCTTCACGGTCAAGCTCTTTTGTGGTTTTGATCTCACCACTAGGATATATAACAAATGGAACAGAATAGACATCAAAACCTGGTGGAAATCTGTACTTCACTTCACCATTGGAACTTTGGTCTTCATCTACAGCAGTTACTGAACCAACAGGTGTTTCTGCAGGGAGATTTTCTGAGATTCTGAATGGGAAAATGCTTTTAAGAAATTCTGGATCTCTGTCATTTTGGTCAATGATATCTATCACAACAGTTGCTGTAGCGTTGAGCTGTGCTGATCCGTTGTCCATAGCAATGACACTCAAGGTCACATGAGCAGTAGCCTCTCTATCAAACACCATGTTGGCACGAACCACACCTGTAATTGAATCAATTTCAAATCGTAGATCTGTAGGTGGATCTATAGCATAACTCACAACGCCGTTCTCCCCAATATCATCATCTGTAGCAGAAACCTGGATAACCTCTTGACCAGGAGCATTGTTTTCCTCCATGCTAATGCTGTAGTAATGCTGCGAAAATTTGGGTGGATTGTCATTGTCGTCGGATACGATAACTGTGAAAGTAACTGACCCATCCAGTTGTGGCGTTCCTTTGTCGCGACATGTAACTGTGATATTATGTTCTGGAATCGACTCTCTGTCCAGTTTGTGTTGAACTATGACCTTATATCTTTGGTTTCCAAAACTAGAAAGTCCGAAATATGTACTGAATGTAGAACAGGTTACCTCACCATTAGCTCCTGTATCTATATCAGAAACCTGGATGAGAGCGACAAACATTTGTAATTCCGCACATTCGCAGATCTCAACCTTGTCTGGATACTTATCTGATATAAAACTGAGGCTTATCTTTGGTGCATTATTTCCAGAGTCCCGCACTGTTAGTCTTACAACAGCAGAGGACACAAGAGGGTTACTGCCCTTGTCTGAGGCCTCGATTATTATTGTGTATACCTTTCCTGGTTGATAGGATAAGGTTCCTTTCACCGTTAACTGCCCGTCATCTTCTCCAATTTCAAAGAGTTCGTATATTTCCTGGGGCTGTGATTTCCGTAACCGATAAAAAACCTCACCCAGTTTTCCAGAATCTTTATCAGTAGCATCCATTGTGAAAATGAGGCTGTTTGGCTGAAGATCTTCAGTAACTGTAATGTTCACAGAGGGGTCTTTGAAAATAGGTTTGTTGTCATTTTCATCCAAAATGTTAACTTGAATAGTGAGAGTTCCAGTACGGGATGGAACACCCCCATCCCTTGCCAATAGGATAAGTTCATAATTTGTTTGTCGTTCGTAGTCAAGTTCCTTGTCTACCTCCAAGTTTAAAATGAAATCTATTGCGTTTGCTTCCTGGTGGAGAACAAAGTCAGATTGTGCTTGTAGAGAAACAAGTTCATACGATTGTATAGAATTATTCACACCACGATCTAAATCCTGTGCACTTTCGATTAGAAAACTTTTGTGTACAGCAGTTGATTCCGAAATATTTAAGACAATTAATGATCTAGAAAATGTTGGTGTATTATCATTTTTATCCGTGATATTGATGCGGATGGTAATAATTTCAAAATAATCGGACGATGAAGGTGTTCCAACTAATACCTCGAAATCAAAGAAACACTCTACTTTAAACTTACAAACGCTTTCATCTTCACGATTTATAACTCCTGTAGTAAAAATCTTACTGCTATCGCTTTCAATGCGAAATAAATTTGGAATGGCAGACCCATCCATGAATCTAAATTGGATTCTATCAAGGACGCTGGGTTCCAGTTTGGTTGCTAGATCTAGTTCTTCTATGATGCTCCCAATCATCGTATTATTTGGCATTTCTTCTTGCAATGGAAATGTAATGTTTGGTTGGTTTGCCAGACACCGATTCCAAAAAAACATCGAGAAAAGGAGGAATATATGAATATTAGCCATATTTAATCTTTTTTGTCCAGTTATGTTTTTATTTCCTTCTGTGTTTCCTGGTCATGACCTCAGAGTTTCTAGCATTGTTATTTCATAGAGAATTCCTCCTTCATCAAAACAGATTCCTGTGGAAGAAAGAAAATAGGGTTTAGAAATCAGATAAACACTAATTACCTTTTCAGAACAGAAAAAGCAAATTTGTTTACTTTTATATAATAACAAAAAAGATTTATAATTCATCAATTCTATTTTTTAATACACAACTTAAAATAATTCAATTTATTGAAAATCCATCATATTTTCTTCTAAGTTACAGTTTTTGGAATAACAGAAACTTCTATTTAGTGTTCTTGTAAAGTGCTGACCCTTTCTTAATACCTCAAAACGCACCGATGACTCAGATCAGCTTTAGATTTATCGACACAAAGGTTTTATAAATGGTGAATAATCCCTCTGTGTGATTACAGATACATCTAACACCAAACCGTCCAAGTTTGTTTCGGGTTTAAAAATGTCAACATTTGGTCATTTTGATAGAAAAGGCAATTACAAAAATTTGAAAAGAAGAAACAGTATTCGACGGAACTGTAGTAGTTACAGAGGATGCTCTTGTATGTTGAAGGTAAACAAGAAGCTTATTTGACAATATTTGCTCCGTTTTGTTGACTGCGAAACACAGGGTGAGAAATCCATATAAGTGTCGTTAGCAGTGTAAACACTTGACTAGTTTGGGGGTTAGAACTGCTAACAGATCGAGTAACGATACTCATGGCTAATTAATGTCCAAAATTCTCTGGAGAAAAAATGAAACTTTCCCAGGTAATTTTTGTTGATTTTTTGGTCAAATCAAACACTAAACATAAGCTGAAAAAAGGGGGAGATGAGGGGGAGGGGGGAAATGAGGGGGAGGGGGAGATGAGGGGGAGGACGAGGGAAGAAGGGGACTGAGACTGTGGCAATTTTCTGTCATTCACTTAAGATCACAAATTTCAAAGCAACAGACTGTGTTTCATGCAATAAAATTTGAATAAAACTTTGAACAATAAACCTAAAAATTGCCACTATTAGCAACCAAATGTGAGAGTATCTCCTTAAATGATCAGATATATTTGTATAAACTGTCATAATACTATGGTTGTTTTAAGAACATCATTACAGTACACAGTATAATCTTATAGATTATAACATTATGCTAAATTTGTTAACAATTCTTAATTACTTTTTTTATTATTTTCTTAATAACTGAAATATCTGAAGAAAAATTATTTTAAAAAAGCACTTCCAAATATACATGTGTATAATGTAAATTATTTTATGATTTATGAACTACATCTATTGAGTGTCAAATTTACGTTTTTTACAATTTTAAACTGCTCAGTGATTCTTTCTTTCAAAACATGAGTTTTGAAATTTGGTCTAAATAATCATGAGAGGGGAAAACCCTTCCAGTTTCTCTAAATACCCTGTATTTATTTACCTGTTTATTCTAAACAATCCAAAATTCACTTCAAATAATGTTTGCAACCATTAATTGAAAACCATCTGATTTTGATGTCATCAAACAATGATCAAATAATTCAAAGATCTCTGAGACAAGCCATTGATGTTACTGTATACAGCATGGACATAATTAAAGCCTGTATGATCCTACACAGCATCTCCACATCACAAATTTGAAATTAATCAGCTGGAATCATAAGTAAATATCTATATATGTAACATTCATTTCCACTGATTAATTTACAGGTAATACCATGGCAACACATATGAAATATATTCCAACTGTCATGACATATATACCATTAACAGATGCAATGAACATTGGCTGAAATCTCATTTCATATATCAACACAGCTGTATGTATGTAAATAAATTTCTGATTGTAAATACCTGTGGTATCCGTGATAGTAAGAGACAGCCTCTTGTATGAACACATCTGACTAGTATCAATTTCCTTTGTGCACAAAATGATTGAGAAACATTATTTGTTTTTACATGGAAATATAGGTGTGTTTCAAATACATCCCCACTCCTTCACACAACTGTATGTCCTCCTTGAGTGTTGTACTGTGTGTACCTGAATGATTCGTCTTGTGCTCTCTCAGGTGTATCTTAAAGGTAACGAGCTACACCTGAACACCAGCCACAACTTTACCTGTACAGGTACAGGTATTCCAGCACTGACCAACCATGATACCTGTGGTCATACGTGGCCGGATACATGCTGCTGATGGCAGAATGTACCAGCGGTCACTCCGTCAACAAATCTCAAGGCTTATCAGTTGTTTATTTCAAGTGTTTGTTTCACAATCAACCTTTCTGTTAACCTGACAACATTCTTCACTTTTAAATATTCTTTTCTGATCCAACACACTTGAGGAAATTGTTTGATTGTTTGTCACCAGAAATAATTCATCTCAGTGGTGGTATATGTCTTTGTTTTCTTTAAAAAAGAAACAATAATTACGACCGTCTTTCGGCCACTTATAGCCAGCTATTATACCAACAGTGAAAGTTTGGTGATTATCGGTGACAAGAAAACATCAGACAGCTACACAATCACAACAAGTTGAGTGGAAACATGAGTAAGAAACACACAAGTCAGAGAATGAAACAACTTAATTACTTCTTAAATGAAGATGATTTGTCAAAAGATTATCAAATTGTTAGCAATTTTGTGATATCAATCGTACAATATTAATTACAAATTTCAATTTTCAGATCATCAGAAATCTTCAGTACAGAGCGTTCCTAATGAACCCTACATGGAGGTAAAATAACATCTTATTCATCAACAGTTGATAACAGGACCTTCCCCTTCCCCAATAGACTTGCTAATTACTCATCCACGGTCATCAGAAAACAATCTTAGGGACCAGACATACAAATAGGGGATTACATTCGTTTCCACAAGCACACATGAACTTCGTCATTCTGTCACCACACTAAGTCCAACAAAGGTCCTGAAATTTTTTAGTTTCCCCAGCAGCCCATGGCTTGACCGTGTTATGTAACACTACCCGGTAAATGGTTGTCTGCCCTTCCTGTGACAGAGATAGCATGGAAAGGGAGAAAGGCATCTTTACACAGCTCTACATAAGTAAACACATGATGTGATTAGTGTAAAACCAACTTCAAATAAAACTGAAAAATGTTGTCAGTGTTATCAAGGAGGGAGCTCTGTGATTAAGATGTCTGCTTTGTTTTAACATCTGATCTTATTCATGAAGTTTCAAACTGAGAGAAAATCTGAAACCTCCAAAACTCTATGAATTTTTAAAACAGATTAAGTATGTAAGTTTTCCATAAACCCATTTTAATGATTAAAATATACCAGATATATTTACACTATCAATAAATTAGCTTAAATTTGAATTATTTAAAAGTTCATTTAGTAAATATGGGTCAGACCCAGAATCGAAAAATACAATTTATTTCAATAAATTACTAAATCATTAATGAATATCAAGGTCACATATATTCATCATACTTATATATGCGTGATACAAAATTCTCTTTATCATGTTGATAAATGTAGTAAAAAACAGTGACTACAAAATAGATGACTTTACTAAGAAGTTGTCTTACACAATATTTATCAAAATTTATCATGATAAAAAAAACCTGTTAAGAGACCTAAATCTGTGACAATGACAGGTTAGAAAACCACAATCAAGCAGACAGGCCGTTTTTATACAATCGTTCATCGTGCATGCTTGCCTGGTCACTTTACGATAATAGCAAAGTGTCTCAGCTATTGTCAATGAGTAATATACACAAACAAGACAGTTACTTAAAATTTTCCCTTTGGCAAGTAATGTGTTACTGTCTCGTTTACTTTAAATTTGTCAATAAAATATCAAACTTTAGTGTTGCTGTGTAAGATACACAAAGAGGCCGAAAGTTATACAAATATTTAACCAAATTAACGTATAGCTGTACAAACTAGACCCTACCTGTGTGTATACCGTGCTGACGATCTGGCTCCAATAAATGTTTGTTCATCATATCATAACTTATGTACATATATTCTTTTTTTGACACTTCAAATTTCAACTTACATTTCTGACACAAATCCATTCTCTGACAAATAATGATTCAAAGATTTTTCAAATCTGTCATCTGCTACCTTCCACAAAGTGCATATCTGTTTCCAGCTTGTCATAGACCCCATCACATTGAAACACATTCTAAATCCAGAAGTTCTGAACAAACACTTTGATTTTTGAAGGACATCACAATGATACAATAAGGCAATTGAAAGTGAACCTTAATTCCTCAAGATTAATGATGACAGCTTGGATGGTCCCTTTTGGGGTCCACCTAGAGGGACTAGGGATTAACTACCCTTTACAACACTGCACTTAACACTAATCCCTAAAAAACATTTATCTTTTGAAGTGACAAGAAGGGATTAGCACCAGACACCCTAATTCTCAATAGCCTGATGCCACCATGCATTGCCTTAAGGTTCTATCTATATTGCAGATCTGATTTACAATATACCCCTTCAACCTTTTAAGTGTTAGCATCAAAGATCCATTTTGGCTAGGTAAGTTGACAACATTTCTTTTCTGGATACTGACCTTAAGAAATATGACCCCAACCTGTATTCTCGTATGTAAGGATGCATTCTGAATTCAAATTTCCGTTCTTCTCCTTAACAGGCATCCTAACTAGTCTTAGACCCGAGGGATGTGTTAGAGATTTGAAGTATTACTGAAAGGGTCTGAAACTGACCCCTTGCCATTCAGTCCTTTCTATCAATGATGACCAATCAAATGAACCTCGTGAAAATTGGCTGTTTCATCTGAAAAGATGAGTTCAGCCCCGACAGAGTGCAGCAGTCAATTAGCCATAAATTGGCTTTAAAATGTGACATCCTACAAAGACTCCACAAATGGCTGTCCAATAAAAGGTGACACCCACTGCATATAAACCATCACCGACTGTCCATCCCACTTATTTCATATGAATAACAGACGTGAGCGAATTATCACCAAACGTGT